CTGTTTCAGAATTTAACTTCACTTGTTCTCAAATTTTTTGTAAAAGTACTGTAACACCAATATATTCAACAAAAAATTTGTTTTCTAAACTTTTATGGTTTTATTTTAGTTATTTTACTAAGCTTCCGAAGATTTTCAAATTTCCTTTATTTCTGAAATTAGATGTTACTAATAGTATTATAAAACCTTCAAAATTCAGAGCAACTAATTAATTTTCTTAAAATTAAATTATGTATATTTATAACTATATGTCTTTAGAGTAATATTTTGCAAAATTTAAAATGCAACAGTGTGCTTTTAGATGTGTTTAATAGTTAAGGAACATCTGTGTTTATGTATAAGGAATAAGAACAAGTGACCCCTACCCTGAGTTTTAAGATGATTATGAATTCCTTTGTTTGTCATGGTCAAATATTTCTTACTTTCTTCTGTAACTAGAATATCCACGCAAATTTTTGTAGAGAACAAATCAAACTGTGTTATTGCCTTATGTATTTCTCTGCATTAGGCTTCATAAAGTGAATTATGTCAGATATGCTGCTCAGAAATAAACTGAGACACTTTATGTATGTGTATATGTGTATATGCACAAATCTATTTGTATATGTGTTTGATGTAGTTTTGTGTGTAGATGCATGTTGAAGGCTGTGCTAACAATGCAGCCAGTGATATATGAGGCAGCCATGTATGTCTGCATATTTTCTATACAGTTAACCACTGTAAGATTTTTCCTTTTAAATTATTTTCTCTAAATATGTATATCAAGATGCATGTATATATGATGTATACATGTATGTATATGTGCATGTGCATATGTGTATGATGTACATGTATATGAAGTATATGTATGTAATATATATGTGTATGTGTATATGTATATATGGTTTTATATAAACAGTATACAAGCAAGGACATTCCAGATAGTAGATAGCACTTATATCTATATTCTTTAAACTATGTGATATGATTATGTGAGGATGTTTTGCGAAAGCAGCGTTGCTCTATTTGCATTTAACCTTCAAGAGATAATGTTCAAGCTAATTTATTTGTATTTATTAATATATTTAATCATATCCCTTTTAAGTATTCATTCAAGAACCTTGGTTAAAAGACAGTGAAGCACAGAACGAATGGTAATTTTTTTTTTTTACTGTTACATGTACAGACATCATTCTTTGAAAAGTTCCTCTCAGAAAGCAAAAAAAAAATTACAATAATATTTCTTGTCTATACTTATTTTGAATTCTAAGAAAATCACCCATGTACCACTACAGTTTATTTCTGCAGGTGATTTACTAAAGAATGGCATAAGGAAATTCAAAACGAATTTTAAAAGCCATATTCGAAGTTTTAACTCTGTGTAATGTTTCTATTATAGGAGCAAATTTATGACGGAAGTGAGCTTGGAACACACAGGAGTGGTACAAGAGAGAAATCAGCTTCCATCATTGATAAAAAAATTTCCTTATCTTAGCTTCCTATAAGCTGTTAAATTGATAAGTGGAGATTTATCAATTTACCTTGTTAAATTGATGTGCTGGAGAAACTTGTAAAAACAGTGGTGGATACACTGTCTAAGAGATCTTTACCATGTCACTATTAAATTAAGTTCCCATTAAAATCCAAGTAATTATAATTCTACTTTATGTTTCACTGGCGAACATTTCTAGACTATAACTGCTTAGATTATTTCTTTTTCATTATTTTTAAGATTTGTCTAACTTTATTTTGTGTGTACTTTTATGGGTGTTCTGCTTAGATGTACCTGTGTATCACATGCCAATATCAGTTCAGTAGAGGTCATAAAAGGACATTGGATTCTTTTGAACTAGAACTATGTTTGACTATAAACCATCATGTAAATGCTTGGAATTGATTCTTGGTTCTCTGGAGCCATATGTCCACAAACCCTTACGTTACCTTTTAACGCTATATACTTTGATTCTTTTTTCAAACCATATGTAAGCATGAATAATGGTTTAAAACTCCATGTTTAACTTACAACCATTATGACAGAAGTATCAGTATTAATACTCTATAGCCTCCAGATTGTAAGCCATGGAGGATTCCTGGAGTCATTCATAAACTGTTCAGCATCAGTTCTCATGCACTTCTGTTTGGACTTGCACAATTTAGTAAATAAAAAAATAGCAAACCATTTAAATAAAATGCAATAATAAATAACAAAGGTTTCACATTTAAATATGTCACAATATTACCTTGCAAATAGTTTTAATACAAATAGCTACCATTTTACACTTGAGAAGTTTTATTTTTAACATGGCAGAGGGAAGCTATTTCATTGCTACTTCATAGCAAAGGGAGTTCTGCAGCAAAGAGAATGATACATCTCTTAAATGAGGCACTGTCTCATAGTTTCCAGAAATAGAATTTAATAGTACATTATATTTCCTTTTTTAAAAAAATACAGATTGATGTCTTTTTATTTTATAAAACAAAACAAACAAAACAAAACCAGAAAACAAACAAAAACAAACAAACAAAAATTCTGTAACTTATTGAAATAGGAGAAAATAATTTCATATTGTTTTGGGAGGGTGTGAAACCAGTGACATTTAGTAATCTCATCTTGCTCTAGTATTTGAAGTGAAAGAGAAGATATGCTTCCAGAAAAGGAGATGAAATGAAGAAAGACTAGTGAAAGAAATTTGATCTAATTATGTTAACATGCTTAATATGTTCTAAATTCAGAGCTAATGCCTTCCGGAAGATTTGGCAATATAATATGCCACGTGAAGGATTTTATGGCAGTCATAAGCAATAGTAGATATGGCTGATTACTTTAGAAAATCATATGGTCTTTAAAACGATATGCCAAGTAGATAATGTGGAATATATTAATTTTCCATCTGTGTTGTTAATATCTATAATTTCCATATCAGTACTTATGGCAAATATATGCAAAAAATTTAAAGAGTCACTATAACTTTTTTTTTCACACATGGTTTCTCTGTGTATCCTGATGCTTGCTCTATAGTCCCGACTGGACTTGAATTCTGGGATCTGCCTGCCTCTGCATTCTGAGGTCTAGAATAAATCCATGTACCACCACTGCCCAGCATCTAACACTGAGTTTTAAGAAAAGTAAAAGTCATCAATAAGGACAACACCTATAAAATTATTTTAATATGTAATTCTATGATTATCTACCCTTTAAAAAATGAAGTCAACTTTTCAAAATAATTTTTTTGCATCTACAACATTGTGTGAAGAGTTATATGACAACCTCTGTACCTAAAGAAGTGCTACTTGGACAAATCAGAGTACCTCTTCTCACCAACATGGAAAATCTCCAACCAAGAGGAGCTATTTTCCATTTCAAAGCAATTATTAATGACTATTACATCATTAGAAGAGCACAAAAGCATTGAAAATGCTATAATCCAGCTCAGAACAGGTGGAATTTGAACCTTCATTTTTAAATCTACTTAACGTCTGAACATGCTATTTTAAGTCACAAAGAAAACACAAGAAAGAAAAACGAAAATCAGTTTAAATTTCTCAAAGAACAAGCAGTAGATGACCTTTTCAGAGACTCTCCAGATGTTTTATTTTTTCTTCCATACTTTTAAATGTTGTGACCCAAATAATGATTTTGATTCAACTCAAAACCCGAGGAAACATATGGAAACAGTCAGCTATTCACACATAATTGGCCAATAGACCAAGCCACCAGAACAAGCACTCAGGGTTTCTTAGACTTCCAGAGAGAGACCACAGTACAACATAGACCAGTGCTTTCTTGTCAGCCTGCCTGCCTGTCAAAAATCTTGTATGGCTCAAATGTAGGATAGTCACAGTCTTAAAGTCCAGTGTCTTTATAAAGTTTGTAAAGGAGAGCATCTTAAATGTTCACAATGTTCACAAAAATTCACAACTAGAAATCTCATGCTTTTTTTGAGTATCTGATAAATTTAGACACAGACATTAGAAGATTCTTAATATATATTACTGTCTTTAAAGGTTCAGAGGTAGGCACTTTTTTTTTCCCTCCTGCTTTTTAGACATGATGGTGTTTTGTATGGACTAAGGCATTTTTTTTTTGGGGGGGAAGTGCAACAATAAATTTAATTTGTATATGCTCTGCATCTTCTGCAAATATGGTCTGCAGATAAGGTTTATAAACTTTTTCTTTATTCTATACAAAAGACTATGCACAGACCTGAAACACACTGCCCTCTGGTGCACATACTGTATAAAATAAAATATTTATAGAACATTATCCAAGTAGTCACAGACAGAAAAATGATAAGTTAAAATTTATTCTCCATGAATGCCAACACCTTGGAGTTGCCAAGTCTTTCTCAAAGAAACAATCCAAAGCAATAATTTGCATAGACATTCTTAATGGAAAATATAAATATGATCTAATTCACTTAAGTGACACTTAGTAATCATCTGTTCAAGGACTCTCTGGGCTGTGTGGGAATAAGCAGCTTTTGCTTGTTTTCATATATGACTTCTTTTATACAACTTACTTAGACTTGACGTTTTTAAAAATTTCAAATGATAGTAAATGTACATCTGAGACATTTTTGTGTTGTTTGCTATCATATCCATCTGGTTCATTTATGTTAATACTTTTTTATTTTTCTTCAAGCTTACGAATATACAATTACTTTCTTGTAAACGCAGATAAGTTGACAAAACTTCTCAGTGACTAGTACAAGATTTTATTCCCATTTAGGCTAAAGAAATGTGCCATAGACTAATAAGTTTTTAAAATTAACTTAAAAAACACATGCTATGCAATGAGAAATAGTTTGCAAGGAAACTGGTTTTTATATTCAAATTTGAATTACATAACCAGTTGCCTATTATCTAACAATTTTTCACACCTACAAGAATAATATTAATTGACAAGAAAACATCACTATGGTGTTTACTCAATGATAGCCCTTCTGTTACTTTCCATTGGAAAAGCCCTTATTTACACACAATCTCCAAGTATGGTATTTGCAATTGCCTTCCCTTCATACCTGTATATCTTGTATCTTGTGCTAAATCCCTGTCGGCTTCTGTCCACAAAATCTGTGTACTCCTGTGAGCGATGGAAGGGTCCCTTATCAGAGAGGAGCCAGTCGAAGGGGCTTGTGGCATGCTGGTCAGAGACAGCAGAAACCGCTAAAACCCAGCAATGAAGACTCAGTACTATCCACTCCCATAGAGCCATCAGAGAGGACAATTCAGCACCAGCTCTGCGCCGCCATATCATGCTTCCACTGGGGACTTAGAGCCTTCATCCTCTCAGCTTTCCCTCAACACCTAGACAAAATACACAGGTAATTAGTTACTCTGCAAGAGACTACATCAGCTGAGGTGTTGAGCTGGTAAAATTTTCTTATCTTAGACAGTGTATTAAAATGTTTTTAGATTGGATGATAGCAGACTTGAACAAGAAGAAAACCAAAATCACCTTTTGCTTCACAGCTAGCTATATATTTGTATCTAAATTTCTACTTAAATAGAAAGCAAAATAATTAAGTAAATTACCGGCCATGTCATAACAATGCCATCCAGTGGATTATTCATTAAATGTCTTAAGCAACAATAAACTTGAGCAAATATTTATTTTTCTGCTAATTCATTGCCAAAATTCTATATAATCAAAATAATAGCATTTGATTATTATATTATTATATAAAATTATATAAAATTTATGTTACCTGAAGCAAATAAATAAGTGCATAATAAATTTTGACAATGGATATATTTGGTATTTTATTTTATAATTTAGTTTTAATACTTGTGTTATACATATCTATCCTAATATAGATATATAGATGGAGATATATTAGGTATAGATAGATATAGTGTGTACATGTGTATGTGGCATTAATGTGTCTGAATGCAAATATACATGAGCTACAGTAAATGTGTGAACATTGAGAACAATCTCAGATGTGTGTTCTTCTTGCCATACGCTTTGTTTAAGATAGGCTACCCTGTACAAATGTTGGTAATACTTGCCTAGGGGTTTTTTGGATTTCCCATCTCTGTCTTTCTCCTCTTCAAAGGAGTGTTAGGTTTTCATATGTGCATGCTACCACCCAGGCTTAAGTTGTTAGTTAGTTAGTTTATTTGGTTTTTTGTTGCTTGGTTGGTTAGTTTTGAGATTCACCCCAATTCAACTGACTGAGCATAATCAGCTCTTATAATTATTTCAGAGTATCTGCTTTGTGTTTTTGTTTTTGAGACAAAATCTGTAGAACAGGGTAGCCTCCAGTTCAATTTGTCTGTTTCTGTCTCTTGTCTGTTTTGTGTGTGCACCATTACACCTAGCTATTTTAGCTGTTTTGAGAAACGCATTTTAAATAAATTATCAGATATCATCCATATAATCTAACTAAATGTAGAATAAAATAACTACTCAGTGAACACAGTAATAAATAAATATCTGTACAAATCAAGCATGTATATATAGACAGATAGATAATATCCAGCTATGTCAATGTTTATGATAGAGTAAGAAGGGAAAGTATTAGACCAGAAATATATTCTTCATATTTACTTAAACTTTTGACTTTATCACTGGAAAAATTATAATTAAGTCTTTTTCAGAGAGTTAAAAATCTCCATGTATATACTGTGTCTTATCCAAACATAAATGTATACGTTTCTTGTGAACACAGAAACTAAACAATATATAATACTCACAAACTTTTAAACTAAATATATTATATTATACTCATCCAAGAAGAAAGTAAATGATATATAATCCAAGCAAATGCCATCGGTGTGCAATTCTACAAATAATTCTGTGCCAGGCTGATGATATGGTATTCTTTGTATTATCCACAACAAGTTCTAAAAATACTTCAATTTAGTCTTCTTTCTCACTCATTTTTTAAAATGACATTATAAATAGTTCACATCATCAGTGGTAGAAAGTTTTAGTGTAAAAGCTTTAACCAGCAGAATCCTTCATTACAAAACCAAAATTCACAATAATAAGTTAACTACTTTAAAATTGCTTCCATGTCTTTTGCATTCAGATGAGAATTTGATAGCCTTAATTTACTGTTATATCGGCAGCTCTCCATATTTTATTTCAATCTTAAACTGCTTTGATGAAAAGAGCTATTTAGCAATAATTTGTAACTAAAAATATCTAATAATGATAACAAAACCACATGACTTGGATCACAATTTTGAACTCTACAAACCTACAGAAAGTGTCTACAAAATATACTGACTTTCCCAATCCCATTAAATAGCTCCACTCTTCTATTAAGGACTACTCTTTTGTAAGCAACATAGAAAATTATCATGTGGCAATACTTTTAAAGCAGTTCATTACCAAGCCTTATGTGGCATGATAGACGTAGGAACATAAATGAATTATTTCATAGCTACTCCTAGTTTATAAGCATCATTGTCAAATTTGAACCAAGTGTCTTGGATAAAATTACTCTATTTACACATTGTCTCACATATGGGGATTATATCTTAATAACTTTGCTGTTAATCTGCATTAATTGATTGTAGTATATTGTGTAATAACTTTGGCATCAACAAATATTCATCTATGCCAAGCATTCATGACTTTCTACTCTGTTTTATAAGGAATTGGATTTTAAAATTTTCCAATAAGAATGTATATTTCACAAATTAACTCAGACCATACATTTAAAGCCACTACTTGTTTTAAATCTGTGTTAGATTTGAAAGAAATCTGTAGTCACACTATCTTTCAGAGCTTTCTGATTAACAAAACATACTTGTAACTAATCTGTTGAAAATATATAAACAAAGATGATTTGTGTGACTAATAACTTAGAAAAAAGATACCTTAGAAACACTACCAATTCATGCTCAACTTCCTCAAGAACAATATTCCAGCATCTGGGCGGTCCAGGTTTGGTTAAAGGATCTTGCTTTAACTCATAACGGCTGTAGCAACATCCTTGTCAGTTCTTAATCTGCCTTTGTGCCTTGGTTTCCTAATGTGAGCAGGGCACACCTCACTGGTCTTTGGCCATTGGACTGAATGATAGACTTGCTTCAACCTTTCTATAAAAGAAGGCTTAATGATATAGTTTCTAAAGTACAACATAGAGCTGTTTTGCCCTGTGTTTTGCTGGGACAGTTGTAGATATTATCTGACAATAAATGTACTACTGCAGATGGACTATCACAGGATCCAAAAATGGAAAAAAAAAGGAAATATGGTGATAATCAAATTCATCAAGTTTCTTCCTCAGATTAAAAAAGAAAAAAGCTATAAAGTGATTTTGACCTCATCATGAATAACAATAAAATTAACTGACTAAAAATTGAACTAAAATTGTCCATTTAAGATATTTATTTTCTGGAACCTATTCTATTTATTTTCTGGAATTGTCTAGGGTTCTTTGTTTGTTTGTTTTTGTTTTGGGAAAAGAGAACAGTAAGATAAAATGAACAAAAAGACAACAAATCATAACATCAAATAGAAAACCACAACATTATAATATGATGTGTATTTTTATATTTAGTATTGCTAAGATGTCCTTTCTATAACATAAGTGAATATTGAAACTCTCACTTTTTAAAAATATGTACATGTAACATACTTATAAATTCTATTTTATATAATACCACTCTATGTTGATTGTTATACATTCTAACTTTATTTGTAAAATATCAATGATATTTAAAAATCTATGCTGCCTAAAACTTATGAAAATGACATGTGCCATAATGTCTAATAATAATAATTATTAGAGACATTAAGGTAGACATTAACAATTCCTCCTTAGCTCTCTGTGATCCTGCTTCCATTTTAATACCTTATGTTTATCTAACTTAAGGATATAAAATGTATATGAAATTCACAACATTTTAAATATTATGAAGTATTTTACAAAATACTAACATTGAATTTCTAAAATGACTGAAAGTGCAAATATAAAACCCAATGTTAAGGGTTACTCATCAAGGAAGCTACTTTTGCACTGTTATCAATGATTGCAAACTCCCAGATGAAAAAAGGGACATAGAAGACTGCTTTGATGATCCCTCCCCACCTCCAAAGTACAGTCTGTACAGGAAGCCATCAAAGAGAAGTCTTACGAGTTGTGATAAGAATGCCAAATTGTAGTTCTTTGCAAATGATGGCTTCTGGGAAGACTGCAGATAGGGAAGGACTCAGTTTTCTTTAAGGTGACTAGGAATTTGATCATGTTCCAGTGAGCATATGGGGAACACCAATTGAACTTGTGTGATTTGTTTATTTGTTTGTTTACTTTTTCTTTTTTTAATTCTAAAATCATCAATCAAAATATATTAGGAAAAACAAAAGAAAAGAACAAAAACAACAAAAAGTCAAAAGAAATTACTGATGTAGTATTAATAGACTTTAGACTGGTGGGCCATGTCTAAGACATCTTTGACACAGCAATACATTTTACATTAACATACTGGATGCTATGTAATACTATTATTTTGAAAACAACAAGGAGCTGTATAATTTCTCTATATAGATATATTATTTTTATTTAGATTGACTTCTGCTCATGTATATATATTTTCATAAACTAATTCCATCAAACATTCCTACTTATTTTCAACCATTGGAAAACCCAAGACAAATTGATAGACCAAGATAATTAAACACATCTTTCAATCACTCATTCTCTCTCTCCCATATACCTTGCTACCAAACTCACATACAGTGTCATGAATTCTAGGAAACAGTAAAAGGCCAGAGAAAGATCACATATTTCTAGAAGACTGTATAGCAGCTTTTAAAACTCATGCCTCATGAAAGTGCCACACTATCCACAGCCTTTGCTTCTATGCTTAGTAATGTGGAAGTTGGCAAACATAAAACATAGAAATTATAAAATAAATATGTTAGTCCTTCAATTGTTATATTTATTTTAAAACTTATGTTTATAAAATATATTAATTTATAGAAGACATTTAAAATATAAAATCAAGTAATAGATTTATCTGTAATAGTCTGAAAATTAAAGAAAATTGGGTATAATTTATATAATACATGAGTATAATTTAATTATTTGATATTAAATAAATGTCAGCCCTAAAACAAATGTTTGTTAAGTATATAACTTTATAAGAAATAAATAATGGATTAACACATATATATTTAGCTCTAATTTTTCAGCATTTTTTTCTGAACAGCGATTACTCAATTTCGATGTGATATAGCTCATAATTTAGAAAGCCATGATACATAAGAATATTGCGGTTTATCTACAATGTACCAGATGTGATAATTTGTAGATGGATGTAGGTCACTGTTGTGACTAGCAATACTG